CGAAACTATCGACTATCTTCGAGGTAGCTACCATATGTTACAGGGGCCGGTCCGTCCTATCCATCCACAGCGCTCTGGCTCTGTATGAGTGGACGTCAGTTTCCAAGATTGTCTGACTGGCATCTGGAGCGAGTGGCACATGTTACCATCACTAATCAACCAATGATTGTGCCCTATGTTGAGCAAATGCCGAGGCAATTTTAGGACAGCGTAGGAGTGAGAACGAGTTGGTGTCAAGAATACAAGCGATTCCAAAGTAGATCGTACTGGACTCACGAGAGCGCGTTTCATGCCCGTGGTGTAGGCTCATGCACACACCACTAATGTCAGGTGATCTGTGACAGCTTGTGACTACTAAAATCCATACTTGTTGTGACACTGTGTCCAGCTGGCCCTCGTAGGGGCAACCCCGCCATTCCAAGGGAAACCTTAAATCGGTTGACCATTCTGAGTGACCGATTGACCGATTGGCAGACCGTTTGTCACGTGACCTCTGACCGATTGATTTTTCTGTAAGTTCAAACTACTGAAATCAAGATTTCGAGTCAGTAAGTCCTGTTTCTCTCATTTCACCAGCACATGAATTAATTCACTGGCACACTACATGAACTCTGGAACACCAGGCATTTGAAGATAACAATGAAACAAATCGGCAGGGAGGAGAAAGCCACACTGGCCACACTGAGAAAGAGACCATGGACATAGAAACGACGAAAAGATGATGAGAAAGAGAGAAAAAGCAGCAGATAAAGGGGGGCAGATAGGGAGAGAAGGGGAAAGGGTCCTAGGAAATAAACAATGAATGTAACTATATGAAACATTGAATTAAAATGACCTTGCAATTTAACTTGTGTATAAAACTTCAACAACCCCCGCTAAAAGAAACCCACTTAAGTCTGACAGAGACAGTCAATCCGTAAGAAATTCTGGCCGTTGCAAATAACGGTGAAGTTGGGCATGGAAGGACTGAGTGTCAGGTCAGTATACAAGCAGAACAGAACCTCCCCAGTTGGTAACTCAACAACGCGCTTGGTGAGCATCTTGGTGAGTGCCTCATACTCCATTGCAAGGTCGGCCCCATCAGTGTTCTGGATCACCACATGTTTGTACATTTCTCAAATTGTTGACAAGCAGGTGTGGGGATGAAAGTGTGTCCCATTGACAAAGATTCCTTGAGGTTGAGGCCAGGGTGGGAGATCTGAAGCCGGCTTGTTGATGGTCACAGGGACTTTGTCAGAGCAATGTTTCTTCTTGTGGTTGTATGCTGGGTCTGTTGATCCAGGGAACTTAATGGTACGACACTGGCTGCAAACTTGAGTCTTGCGCTATAATAACAGTTAGTAGTTACACACCCATCAAGGATTTACTTGTTACTTACATGTTTCTTATTTGTGTCGGCCTTGACAAGTGAGATAGCAAGACAGTGCTTCCTCCAGAAAGCCTCACACCCACTTTTAGCTGTCAATAGTAATTAGTATATGTAGACTATCCTTTCTTTTCGGAAGGATTTTCCTTTTGTTTTTTGCATATATCAATCCTTTGTGAGGCAACGATAAACTATAACAAAAACACTACCCATCTCCGACTGCACTTGCAGGGAGTAAGAGGTACAGTGAATCTTGAAGATCGACAGATGCTAGTGAATATAGCAAGTAGAGAATATGGGAGTAGACTCAGAGGTTTCTGATGAGGAGTAAAGCGGGCATTTCAAGTAATAGAAAGCTAAAGAACAATACATGAGTATGTAGAGTTTCTACAGCTAACCGTCTATCCCTCAGACCGAAAGAAGAATAAAAGGAAAGTGGTCTGAAGGGAAAATTAACCAATAAGAAAAAGGATAAATATTGTACGACTTTGAAGATTAATCAGCAGGTGGGAAAGTGTACTAATAATAAGTGTTATCACGCGTGTTCAGGAACCGTATCCTCATGATGAGGTACGATCCTGACTAAAGCGTCTATTAGTATCTCCAGGCACTGATGGGGCTTGGAGCTAGTTGGCGAGATGTCTACCACCAGCCCTTACCCATTGTGCTGGCTGGCTGGGAGTGATACCCAGTCTCTGATCTGCGATATAAAGTGGTAATGATGGTTGAGAAAGCCTGTGAGGGCTATGAGAAGTAAAATAGCAAATGATACCTCCAGCCCTAGAGCCAGAGGTGTAACGGGAAAAGCGTTTGGAAACCAAGACATAGAGAAAATAATAAATGGTCCTTACATCCTTAAGATGAATTTTCAGGTCGTATTAATTACAAGGAGACACTTACACGCAAAGTTGTTTGACTTTACCCTCTCAATAATGTGACCCTCCATCTCACCGAGCTTGTCCAACAGTGCTCGTGGGCTCTTCTTGACTATTGGGCCCTTATGTTGAAATTTTTGCTGTAGCCTTGTATTGTACTGGTTGGTAGCTTGAACCCATTTGTGTGAATTGATGCCAAATGTTGTCCATTTGTACTCTAATCTCATATCCATGAAAAGGTAATACTCAGCATCAGATGAGATAATGAGGGACCGAGGGTCAATGCCGCTGCAAATATGAAATAATTGCTGGGACCATGTCAGCCCCTGCTTGTTGTTATTAGGCAATAAAGTACAAAGTGAGCTGACACTAGCTGTCATTGTGGTTGGCACTGTCAGAGACCCAGTTTGAACTTTGACGGAAGTTGAGTCAGCAAGCGGCTTGTGGGATGTGAAAAAACTTTGAATAGCTGAATAGCTGTTGAATCTGAACCAGACATCCGTTGCTGGGGAAATATGAGTTTATATACACTGCCAAAGAGTTTTCCATTGACATACCTCCGATACAGCAAGCTTGTGCTCTCCTTCTAAGTCCTGTGATACAGTAGTGAGTTGTGCCTTCTTTTGCATAGGCCCTTTAGGTTCGGCTGGTGTCTCTTCACAAGTCAGGTCATGGATGTGTTTTCGCTTGGCATGTACTGAGAGAAATTCCGAACTTGATGCAACTGGAGACACTGCTTGGCAAGATGCTGCTTGGCTGATAGATGGGACTGGACTATGTTGAGGTGGAGACTGGGGTGCCAACAGAAGGGTGGGATCAATGTTCAAGTCTTGAAGGATTGATGCCAGCTCAATGTTGCTGTTACAAGTCCTATCGAGGAGGTCCTGGGGGCTATCAGCCCCAGGATCTTCCTCTTCTTTGATTGATAAGAGACCGCCAAACATTGTAGAATGGGGTGAGTGGATGAGGCCAAACATTTTGTTACACTCAATGGTGGGGAGAACTGGCCATAGGCATGTGATGCTGGTTGTCGGCTCTTTGGAAACCAATGTATTCCATTGGCTGGCTATGCTGCTAATGAGCTGAAGGTGGTGGCTTCTATAGGTAGACTTGATGAAGGGAGTTGCGTTTCCTGAGTTGATGCTGATGCAAATATTACAGCGATGGACAAAGTCATGGCCTAGGGCTGTGAACATCTCTATGTCACTCAGGAATGAACGCATAAGAGAGTTCCAGCCCTTATGCAACCCTTCAATATGGCTGCCATCAGATTGAAGGTCTTGATGAGTTCTTGACAGGCAACCTTTCTTCACATGGGCCAGTTGATCAGCGTGAACCTGGTGTGGAAACATGTGAGCATGAGTGCTCAATATACTGTCAAACCTACCTTTGTGGCAGCCGCTGACCAGACTCCTCCTTTCCTAGACTATTTCTTGGACATTGAGTGATGGGTATTCTTCATGCCATTAACGATAGCTGCCAGGTACCTATTAGTGGTGAGCAGAAGTCCTGGAATTGGGGCACAGAACAATTGTCTAACTTACCTCATTATAAAGTGGAAAACATCGAGAACAACCTGTGTGCCAGGCATGGACACATTTATAGCTGCCTGAACATGGCAGCAGTGGTCTGCCACAATCATCTCTGGTAGGTCAGCACCTAACTTCTTATACCGAAGCTTCAGACCATCTAATGTTTCTTGAATTTTGGCACTGGCTTGAGACAGGCAGAGTCTCTATGTGGTCACAATATTGATGAACAAAAGATAATAAAGGTGAGTTTTGAAACTTACCCAGCTTACAATCTCGTTTTGCTTGTTTATAATACTGAGGAGTCCTCCTTTCATCAGCTTCATGTTTATTCTACCCCCACTTGTATCAGCCACGGTCGCTTTACTCGCAGACTTGAACATGTTATCAAGGGATAAGCAAGCACCTGACAGAGAATGGGCCACATGATTGATTGAATGGAATCACTAGTGAGTGTCAAAATTTTACTAAATATGGATGAATGCACTGACCTGTGAGAGTTTGTATATACTGCCTTCCCTCTGCTTGCTGGCTGTGTTCAATGGATGCAAGGTAGATGTCTGTGATGAGGTCCTCAGTAATTGGTCAATCATTATATGCTTTGCTAACATGCAGCGCAGACAGTGCCTCAACAGCACCACATGGTGCAAAGTATGTTGCACGGCCGTGCCGCTTTGTGTAACTTTGTAGGTAATCCTGCACGCGTCTATGATACTGAAGAAGATGAAGTTCTGAATTTATAATATTAACCCATAACATAGGAAATAGAGGTGAGTACTCACACTTAATATGCTCAGAAAGTCCTCCTGATGTAGTTGATGGACGAAGTCCGAATATCAAGTCATACAGGTCTCATGTGACCCCATATCTCTTGAAAAAAATGGGGATATTGTCTAATAACAACAACAAAAAGGATGAGTCTGGTTTCTTTCCTTGAAATAAACTCCCTGGGCTTACACGGTATTTCCCAGAACTCCCACTTCTCCCAGTACACATAGCTAGTTGTAGCAAAACAATAGCCAGTGTTACAATTTCTATTGCCTTTATAGACTACTCATTTTTCCTTACTCATTGGTTATACCATCAGACCAATGACTCATTTCCTTCACGTATATTTCCGTTCTCTTTGCAGATTGTATTGTCTTGAATAGTAGTTAGCCCTCAACAGATGAACCTCCCCTAGATAGGACCTAACTCCTATCACTGATCCTATTTCCTATAAATACCTTTGTAACAGTAGTAGTATTTCTTCAATATGATTCTACGCAGTTTATGCTTACAAAGCTAGACTCCTAAGATCAGACTTCTACTCAGAAGAAGACCAACTCTTGTTGGAAGAACTCTACTCAGAACTACATCCTCGAACTTGTCTTCAGATAGGTCTCTTTGAAAACCTCAATGAACCCTCGGACTTTGTTAAGCACTTCGTGTGTAACAGCCAGTCCCATCAGCAGCTTGCTCTTTACACACCTGACAATGCAGTTGATATCCAAGCGCCGCTGTCTCCTCAACTTGGAGCCCATGCAAATCTCTTGGCCCCGTTGATGTCCAGCCACTCCAAGCCACACCATCAGTCACCCCACATGCTGGACACTTTTCAAGGTTCTCATGAAAAAACAGATGAGTGATATTAAGCGGTTTGAGGTATGTTAATTCTGGCTTGATGGTTGGCTGGAATTGATGCTTTTCCAGGTGGAAATAAGTGGGAGGGATGAATTGAGGACCATATAATGGTATATCTATCTTCACGTTTTGTGGGGCTGTAGTGCTTGCTAATTTCTTATTTCCATGGACTTTTGTTGCCTTGTAGATATAGTCAACATATTCGACTACATTTGCAGCCCATTCAAACTAGGCTGTTTGAACTTCGCTGGACAGAATGGGTCGATTCTCTGTCCATGTCTTCACTCGTTTCTGCACCTGATATTTGTAGGTCAGTTTTTATTCCATATATTCTTCCTAGGCACATATACTGACCACTGTTTTCCATTTATTCTCAAATACAGCCTTTTCATTTTGAGGAAGCAAGTTCTTGATGAGGCTCTTGACAACTGCAGGCTCAAATACAGACATATTTTAGAGGACTGTCATGGATGATAAGAGACGTTGGTGCACACCTCCTATTTATCTTATTTTTCATATTTTAAATGTGGCCACCTTTGCTTTATCACAGTGAATTTTTTCAAGTTAGTTTTTATACAAAATACAGGCTACTATACAGAGACTAGTAGATAGACTATAATGGTGTTATGACCACCACATGAGCATAGATTGTTGGGAAAAGCGAGATAAAATATGTAAGACAAAAAAGAACTTGTTTCACCTGTGTGCCAACGTACTATAGTGCAACTATAGATAGAAGCTGAGCACATATAAGCCTATGATTATAAACACCTGGCCCCTCCAAAAGGCTAAAAAATACTCAAACTGGCCTTGAAAATGGGACCACTGAAAGTGTGACTGGCAGACTGTGGGTTCCTTGAGAATTGTAAACTGGGAGTTTATTTGCACAAGAAGACTGGTATGAATAAATTTTAGTTAAGAACTTTGATAATGGAAATATACAGAGACTTACTCCATCTATATCATGTAACCTCCAAGAGACTTGTAGAATATCTGTAGCGCATCCTAGGGGCCTTGAAACTAACTCGGAAACAATTGTATTCTCCCCTGCTGTAAGCACTGTCGATGATGAGAACTGTTGTTAGAAAACCACACACAAAACAAACTAACACACAATCCTCCCAGATTCCACAGAACTTGTTTATGGGCTTTGCCTCCTAGAACAGTGGGTGCTCTGGTTGTTTGTGGGGTGGTATGTATGACGATCCTTCAAAGTAAAACCCAGAGATGTATGGGTGTGGGTTTTGAGGAAGAGGGATAGTTGGAATATAGAAAGATAGGGGCTTTGTGGCGAATATAGATGAGCACTACCTTGCTAATTGTAGCACAAGGTAGGTTTGAGAATAACAAGGTGACGAGGTTCCCAGTGATAGCAGGCTCCTGACGCACAAATTGTAGTGCTTAGAAGGACTCTAATTGAAAGGGATGAAAATGACTTTCAAAAGTGGAGAGTGACAATGACAGCAGATCATAGTGGTAGCAGTGGGAAGTGTTGTGACCACACTGGATCACAAGTAAAAGAATAGTGAACTTGAGATTAGAGAAGAAGTCTGGATTTGAGTTCTTGTTCTTTTACATGGTAAAATACAGGGGTTTATATAGTAAAAGAAAAGTAGGCTATGCACAGTATAGCTGTGCAAAAAGAATGAGAAAGAACATGAAGGAAGGAATGTATGCTGACAAATCCTGCGTAGGTAGTACAGGATAAGATTGTCAAAAAAAGGAAAAGAAAGGGATAGAACAATAAATGCTGTGAGTAATGTCACAGGTTTGTACAGCCATAAAATAAAGTCCAATAGCAAAAGGAGAGCAGGAAAATCATGATGTCATGGGAAGATGCAGTAAAAAAAAGGGCAAGGCAAAACACTATCAGTATCAACACAGTTCCTTTATTGTTAGTCAGACATTCTAAAAAATATGTGTCCATAAAAATGATTCAAAAATCAAAAATAATCACACTGTAAATGAATGTTCTGCTGAAAAAAAAGAAACTGGAGCCACCGGTCCACCACCTAGTCCAAATCTGACAGTTCCATGGCCTTACCAATGGACTGGTTGTGTTGGACCACCTGGTCAAACAAGGGAGGGAGAGGAGTAGTTCTAATTTGGAACAAGTGAGTCTCAGGCAGTGTGTGGTAGGTGTAGCTGTAGCGAAGACGATGGATAAAAGATAAGTGTACCCAAGTAAATGGGACAGCGATGAACATGGGCAACGCAAGGGGATGAACCTTCTCCAGCTCAAAAACTACCCACCCACGCTCCAACCAGGTGAGACGAGCGACCGATGTTTTGATAGTATATGATGGCAGATCGACGTCATGAAGATGGACCTGTTGCCCTATTTGGACCGGCCGCCGGGGCTTTGCTGATATCAGCAGTGGCACATGGTAGTCAACGGATCGGCGACGGAAGCGGATAGGAAGTGTAACAACCAAGAGTTAGTTACTCTGGCACACACAGAACACACTATAAGGAAGATGATGAGGGAGTGGTTACCCCTAGAGCTGCAGAGAGTTTGTTGGTTAACAACAGGAGGACTCGCTGAGGAGTCTCCTTGATCTATTGGGGTATATATACTACTACAGGTTTGTTTGTACTTATGTACTGTACAGTTGATAAAGTTAGTGGCTGATGATGTTATGGGGCCTAGCCCACATGGCCAGCTCCACTGTGTGAGAGAGTTGTGTCTAAAAATAAGAAGAAAGGCAATGCAGCGCGGGAAAGGGAAATGCCACGTGGCACCCTGTGTAAAGGCTAAAGTACAAGGTTAAGGTGGAGAATAAAAGTAAAGGGAAAGTCCGAAAATGTGTTATCGTAACAGGAAGTGGTGACATCAGAAATGGTGCGGGAGCAAAGAAGATGAGGAGGAGGAGGCTAGAGGTGATGAAGAGGTGGATTAGAATGGGGATCCAGAAACAACTGTCAGGTGAGAATAAAAAGGAGAGGAAGGGGCCCATGGTGGGGCTAGGTAAAGGAAGGGGAGTAAGGGAAACAACAAAAGCAAGGGCGCAATGCAATGTGTAGCCAGTGGCGACGCAAAAATTTGCTGAAATGCCGAAACGCGGAAAGTACCGGATGGAAAAGCAAAGGTGAGCGTGACTGGATTGCCTAATAGAGGTGGTGCTGATCAGCCACAAATTCAAAAAGGGCAATATTAATTACTATTCCACATGGCACTGTGCCTGTGTGGCGCAAAGGCGAGTCTTTTTGAATATTCGCTTCGTTATTGACACCTGTCCATGCTACCAATCAACTTTGGTGCATGACATCCACGGACAACTTGAAATTGCAACTGTCCCTAGTTGCTTCCATAAAGGTAGGGTCATAGGGAATGAAACATGGCAACACATTAAAGGGTCATGTCAGCATAAAATTCGTTCAGGTAAGTCATTAATTGTTATCTTCATCATCTGAGTCGTTATGCTCATAGTCAGGTTCATCTTCTGGTTCATCTAGGTCGTTATCATGATCATCCAGCTCGTCCAAGAGGGGCATAGAGTGGCGGTTGAAATAGGGAAGTAGGCGAAATGCTGCAATTCCTCTTCGTGATACTGATCCATCCATTTCTTTTAGAACATACGATCCTCCTTTAGTACGTCACACAACTTCATAAGGGCCATTGTAACGAGGCTTTGCTTTACGATCCAGCTCTTTCTCAACCTGAGTATTCCGCACTAGAACAAGCTCTCCAGGCTGGTATTCGTTCTTGAACATCCTTTGTGCATAGAGTATCTCAAACTGCGCTTTAGATCTGAGACGAGTTTTGCGTATAGTGAGTGCAGCTTGTTGCAAATCATCCTGTCTCTTTTCTAGTTGACAAATGCGCAGAGCAATGAGGTCTTCTGTTGACATTGCAGTATGGAATCCATGAACAAGGAAAGTCGCTTCTGTCAGATCAAATGGTAGGACTGGGTCAACTCCGTGCAACAGATAAAAAGGGCTGAATCCAGTAGAACGACGAGTAGTGACCTTGTCTGCAAAGAAGGCATGATGGACCTTGGTTGGCCATAAATCGACATTCCCTTCACAGGACTTGACAAGTGCTTCTCTTATGACGAAGTGTCCACGCTCAACAACACCATTTGCCTTGGAATTGTAGGGAGAAATGCAAATATGAGGGATCTGGTAACGTTCCACAAGCTCTTCAAATGCTCCTTTGACTTCGCTTCCATTATCTGTGACAACTTCTCCTATAGCTCCATAGCTCCAGATGATTTCTTCCCAGAAAAAGCGAGCAAGATTATGTGCAGATGCTTTCTTCAATGCTCTTCCTTCTGCAGCAAGTGACAGATCATCTCTTGCAGCAACAAGATATCGATATCCTCTGGCCTTGGGCATGAGCATAATGTCGACATAGACTTTGGTGAAGATTGTAGGAGGTGATGAGATGGTAAGTGGGACTTCACTTTTGCGTACACTTCGAATCTGGCATTCATGGCAGGTGCGAATATGATGCTTGACATCCTGTAACATATGGGGCCAGTAAAAGCGCTCTCTGACTGTAGAGAATACACCATTGACTCCTCTGTGACCAAGCCTTTCATGTGCTTCAGTAAGGATGTGAAGTCGAAGGTCAGGATTGAAGATGACTTTAAGAGGAGGAGCAGAGTGACAACGCTTGAACATGCTGTCTCCTTTCAAGAAGAATTGAAGTGATTGCTTGATAAAACACTTTTGAGCTTGAAGAGAGGAAAATATAGGCAGCTCCATAGTTTGAAGAAAGTGGAAGATTTGTCGAAGAGTATCGTACTGGGAAGAATCATTGGTAAGGAACGAAGGGAGTGACATAGGGTGATATGGGAGAGGTCTGGCAAGATCAACAAGAAGAGCAATATCATCAAGCCATTCATCTGATTCTTGAGCATCTTCAAAGTCTTCCTCTGTTGGTTGACGACGAGATAATGCATCAGGACCACAATGACGATCAGCAGGTATGTGAATGAGCTTGAAATCAAAGAGAAGGATGCCCTGAATCCAACGATTGATAGTGGCATTAGACTGAAGATCTGGATCGTTGAGCATGCCTTTGATATACTTGGCATCCACCTCAACATGCAAGTGTTTTACTCCTGCAATGTAAAGGCGAAAATGACGAAGTGCTCTGAACAAACCATATAATTCTAGCTTGGGTTGACTGTAATTTGCCTCTCTATCATTCATGGGAATAGAGCCATAGCGAGCTGGACGCTTCCTTCCATTTTCATCAAGCTGGGAGAGGATAAAACCAACAGCAATCTTGCTGGTATCAACTGAAAGAACGACTGGGTTGTGTGACGAATAATTTATAGGGTGAAGTGCTGGTGCAGAAGATACTGCATGCTTCAGAGCATCAAATGCTTCTTGTCTGCGTTCATCCCATTGAAATTCAGCTCCTTTGCGATACAATTCTGTCAAGGGGCGTGCAAGAGCAGAGTAATTGCGGATCCAAATGCGAACTGTGCCACATAGACCAAGAAAACTGCAAACATCTTTGGGAGTTTGGAGAATTGGCCATTTAAGAATCTTGTCCACCTTGGTACTGTCAGGGAGACGACCTTCTGGGCAGCATACTTGTCCGACAATCACAACTTGGGGACGACATAACTGAGTTTTCTTTCCAGAGAAAGTTCCACCAGCATGACCAACTCTATGCATAATGCGATGAACGTCAATGGCATGTTCCCATATAAATCTACAAATGCCAGGGTTGCCAGGAATGGTCTCTGGGTTGCCATCTGCATCTTCATAACGAGAAGTAGGTCCTTTGATTGGGAGGTCATCAACAAAGATATTGGCAATATGCGGAATTTCGTCTTGCAAGATGAAAGTCATGCAATTCTGGAATTCTGGAATGGAATTGGTGAATCCCATAGGCATAGAAGTAATCCTCAGAAGTCCTAGTGGTGATAGAAAAGAGGTAAGGTCACGACTGTCAGGGTGCACTTTTTGAGCATCAAATCCCCAAAAAAGATCAAATACAGTATAGCATTGAGAACCAGCAAATGGCTCCACAAAGTCGTCAAGGATAGGTGGTACTCCTGAGTCTTTGATAGTGACTGCATTTAGTGGCTGAAGATCATGGACAATGCGAATCTTGCCATTCTTCTTCTGAACGCAAAACCACTTAGAGCGATAAGACGACTGGCTAGGCTCATAGACTCCAGCTTTGATTTTGTCTCTGAGCAATTATATGACTTCATTCTTGATTCCAGGAGGAATAGGAATGTTCTTGTATTCCCAAGGGACATGTGGGAGAACAGGTATGACGTAGGGAGAGAAGTAGTCTTCTCTGAACGTTCCTCTGTCAGTTTCCTCGAAGGCAAGACTGCGCTGATTGAGTATCATGATGTGAGCGAAAAGCTTTTCCTCTTCTGGCCATAAGAATCCATCAGAGTTTAGCTTCATTTCGTCATACAGGCGCTCCTTGGTGAGCTTTGGCGTGGGAATGAATTCTGGGGGAAGGACAGGAAGGGGTGGGAGCGAAAGGAGTGGGTCTTCTGGAAATGACCGAGTGACACGTGCGTCTTCTGGGAATACTCCAGGAACAGGTTTGACTTTGCGATCAACACGTTTGTAAGCTCCAAAACTCGACCAATCGGGTGCTGGTACAGGTATAGGGTCCACAATGTCTATCATGTAACTAGGGCTAAAACAAAAAGTGTTCAAAGAAGGAAAGTGCCGTGGTAGTTTTGCGTCATCTCGGACCGAATAGGATAGAGATGAGGTCGGAAGTTTTACAAAGGGGGGAGGAAAAAGATCAGATAAGAACGAAAGGGGAACATAGACAATAGAAAAAGAAGTTGGTACAAGAGTAAAGGAAGGAAAAACCGGATAACATAGAAATCCAAGAGGCCATTTTGTACAAGTAATAGATATATAACAAGAAAGAAGAAAAAGGGAAAAGGTGGCATATGGTCCAAGAGCACTGAATGGAGTGTTAAGTAAGAAAGGAATATAGAAATGTATCACCAGCATCTACCTCAAACTTCAATTGTGGCACTAGCAAGTACCTCAGTGCTGGTGGTGAATGTGGATGCACTGGATGGATGAGTTGTCCTGTTGTGGAGGTGAATAACCTCAACACGTTCTCATCGACAATAAGTGCGAATACGAGGGAAGACAAAACCGTAGAAAAGGGCGAGGACAAGTAACACTCCCACCACAATCTCGATGATGAGAGCTTCTTTAGTAATATGAAACCCTTCGAGCCAGGACATGTTAGGTGCTTGTAATGCTCGATGTAAGCGTTTAGGATGGAGTGAAGATGTGTTAGAATCGGAGTAGAATTTCTGGCACTGGTGTGAATAATTGATAATGGCTGAGCTGATGGTGACGTGGGAAAATGATGATAGTGATGCATGGAAGTTCGAAGATAAGGAGTAGTATCGGATGATATATTGATGGAAGGTTGATGCTCCACTCCTATTGTTGTGGAGAAGGATAAGTGAAGGGGCGGTGAGGATTCAATCTCCCTTTCATCCTCTTGACTATCATTGCAAATAGTATGCATGAGTGTGCGATTATCAGGAGAAATTGACAAAGCAATAGTAGCATTGGTAGAGGATGGTGATGGGGGTGAGTCACTGATATTTGATGGTAACTGTTGATGCGAATATGGGGGTGGTGATTCAGAATCAGTAGATGAGTCATCATTAATTAATCCATTTATATGATTGTGTATCGGCTCCGAATCGGATTCTTGTATTACCTCCATCGTCACATTGACTTGACCATTCATATCACATGATGGAGGTCCATTTATATCTTCATCAGTGGGAATTTGGAAATGACTCTGTTTGAGGAAAGAAGCGAATATGTGCAGTTCCTGAGCAACTGATAATAGATTTGTGCTCTTCCAGGTCCATGATTCTGGTCAAATCGCAAATGAGCATGGAGTAGGACATAATCCGCATAAAGGTTGTGGTTTTCATCAAAGCCATGGTGTCCTCTCATGACATAGTCTGAAGTTAGTGAGAGTGAACTCATGTTGTGACAATATTGAAGGTTGTTCAGTAGACCAAAAATAGCAGACCTTTCATCTTCCCTGATTGAGCGAATATAGTCAAAGAATGTTTCGAAGGTGCTGGCATTGGGGATAGGGATGGAGGCTTCAATAGTTTCTTCTAGACGAGTCTCCAGGTCTTCCAGTACTCTGAGAGTACTAGAATTTTCGATTGAACCAATTGGGGAATTATCTGGAACAGGCACAGTTTCTTCTTCTGGGGTGACACTTTCAGCAGCAGTTTCAAATTCATCGGTATTTCCATCTAGATCTTCTCCTTTGAAGTCATAGTCTGTGACTAAGAAGCTGGATACCATATTGGATACTCCAGATACTGGTTTGACATAGTGAATAGGACGATGATCTGATGATACCTTGACTTCCAGAGCTGGGTTTTCGATTTTGCCATCCTTTCTGAAGACGAGATAAGTGCCATTAAGTCTCTCTTCAATGCTGACATAGTTCCCATGCATCCATGGTCGTCCAAGAAGTAGATCGTATCCAGTGTCTTTCCCAACAAAAATATTGGCATAAGTTTTGACTTCTCCACAGTATAAAGCCACATTGTTGACTAGACCATCAAGTCTACCAAATCCTCCATTGGCATCTTTGACTACAGGTCGAATACTAGTATCCATGGGAAGGCGAATAAGATTTTCCCAAATAGTTCGACTGACTATATTGAGAGCAGACCCTGAATCAACAATTGCTGAAATAGTTTCGCCATTAGAGGTAACAGGGACACGAATGAGGTCGGCATGAGTGATGGCAAGAAGTGATTCAGCTGTCAAGCTTTGGGGCTTGTTGTCTAGTCCAAAATTAACGCGCTTGGGTTTCATCATTTCTTGGAGATTCTGGGAAACTTCTTTTGATAGACCAATGACGTTACCAATAGATAGTGGGATAGGGGTGCTGAGAATTTGATCAATGATGGCTTTGGAGTCAAGATTCTGTGAAAGAGTAGATGAAGTCTTGAGCTGTTTCTTCTGTTTATCGGCAGGGGGATTCTTCTTGGTGTTTTGGGAAGCATCTTCCATGATTACATCGTCATTAGTGGGATCAAAGATAGGCTGTGCAATATCAAAGATGTGTGGCTTTGATGGGGCAGGTGCTATGGTTGGAACGGCAGGCTTCTCTTCTTCTTTCTTCTTTCCTTTTACAGCTTTGGCCCAATCTGGTTTAGGAGGAATGTAGACACCATCAAAGACTTGCTTGCGCTTCTCCTTAGACACTCTGTCTGGATGATCCACTGCATAGACAGGCTCTTCATCTGAATCAGAATCAGAGTCAGCTACTTCAGCAATGGACATAAAAGAAGTCGTAGTGAGGAGGTTAGACTTGGGGATAGTGCGATGTACAGCAGTTGCTATAGGTTCCTCTCTTGATCGCATGATTCTAGACCCATCAGACACGACAAAGCGACCAGTGTCATCCTTCTTGACAATTCCCTTTGACAGTAAGTCAAGCATATCTGCACATTCATTGACTCCATGACCAGTTTTTCCGCATCCATAGCAAAGGAAGGGAACACGAGGTGCTGTAGGCAGAGTGGCAGTGGGTGGAGCAGTAGGCTGAGTGGGTAAGTTGCTGCTTCCTTGAGAGGATCGAGATGGTCTGGCTGACTGGTTCATGAAAGTGGGAGGGCGAAGTATAAGTCGAGCATCAGTGTCAAGCTTGATAGCACGATAGTAGAGCAGAGGATAGTTAGGATCTTCAATTGTCATAGAACCCAACTTCTTGATAAGGGTTTCTACTTCATCCTGTTTGACAGCAGTGTGCTCTTCTTCGTCTAAAGAGTGAATGGTTTTCTTCGACTTGGAAGGACTCAACAACTTTCTCTCTTTCTCTGTCTCAGAGGTGCGCTTTTTGTCTTTCTTCTGCTTGGTGGTTTTCCTGATATAACGAGGTGGTTCTTCCTCTTTGTCAGAGTCAGAAGAATTGTCCAAAGAACTGGAAGAGTTCTCTGAATCCGAGTCTGAATCCGAATCATCAGAGTCAAAATCTTCATCATCAAAGCGATCTCTGCGAAGGACATGCTCTACAGCCTTGACAACATTATCAAAGACAAAAGGCTGGGAGAGATCAAGGGTAGGATCCCTCTGTAGAAGTCTGTTTTCAACGTGATGACGAAGGGTTTTGGGTAGTCCTTTCCAGAAGAAGCGATTGAATACATCCTGAGTGATTTTGGATTTGGCAAGAAGCCATCCTCCAACACGAACATACTTCCTTATGTAGCTCTTGAAATCGTCCAGAGAGCCCATTTTCTTCTTGTGCGAAGCATCGACCAGCTGTTTAAGATGATGCTCTTTAAATTTGGCCTCTGCTTTTGCAGCATCAAAGTACTGGAGAATTTCGTCTTTGAGACTGTTCCATGAGGGCGTAATGAAGTGCTTCATTCCTTCAATAATTTCGCGAACATATGTGGAGCAGTATTGGAGAATGCTTGAGCATTTTTCATTGTCAGCAGTGACATTGTTTGCCTGACAGATGCGCTCATAGTGGAGAACAAAATCCCTGACACGAGTATAGTCTCCCTTGAACTTCTTAGGAGCATAATGAGTGCCAGGAATTGGCATAGTGATGACTGAGAGAGTAGTAGGTTGATTCATAGTGAAAAATATAGGGGGTAAACGCGAAGCTTGCTGAGTAGAAGTTGGTACAGAAATTGAGTTACTGGAAGAGAGGGATGGGACAGATAAAGTGGTGGGTGAGATAGAAGGTGTAGATGATAAATTAGACAGTGATGGCGATGAAATGGTTGGTATTTAGCTTGAAGGAAACCACCCCTCGCGGTGGGCTCCAATTGTCAATGATGAGAACTGCAGTTAGAAAACCACACACAAAAACAAACTAACACACAATCCTCCCAGATTCCACGGAACTTGTTTATGGGCTTTGCCTCCTAGAACAGTGGAGTGGTCTGGTTGTTCGTGGGGTGGTACATATAAAGATCCTTCAAAGTAAAACCCAGAGATGTATGGGTGTGGGTTTTGAGGAGGAGGGATAGTTGAATTTGTAGAAGATAGGGGCTTTGTGGCGAATATAGATGAGCACTACCTTGCTAATTGTAGCACAAGGTAGGTTTGAGAATAACAAGGTGACGAGGTTCCCAGTGATAGCAGGCTCCTGACGCACAAATTGTAGTGCTTAGAAGGACTTTAATTGAAAGGGATGAAAATGACTTTCAAAAGTGGAGAGTGACAATGACAGCAGATCATAGTGGTAGCAGTGGGAAGTGTTGTGACCACACTGGATCACAAGTAAAAGAATAGTGAACTTGAGATTAGAGAAGAAGTCTGGATTTGAGTTCTTGTTCTTTTACATGGTAAAATACAGGGGTTTATATAGTAAAAGAAAAGTAGGCTATGCACAGTATAGCTGTGCAAAAAGAATGAGAAAGAACATGAAGGAAGGAATGTATGCTGACAAATCCTGCGTAGGTAGTACAGGATAAGATTGTCAAAAAAAGGAAAAGAAAGGGATAGAACAATAAATGCTGTGAGTAATGTCACAGGTTTGTACAGCCATAAAATAAAGTCCAATAGCAAAAGGAGAGCAGGAAAATCATGATGTCATGGGAAGATGCAGTAAAAAAAAGGGCAAGGCAAAACACTATCAGTATCAACACAGTTCCTTTATTGTTAGTCAGACATTCTAAAAAATATGTGTCCATAAAAATGATTCAAAAATCAAA